ACTTTAGTAGGCTGGAATGACTTTATGCTGGAATGACTTTAGTAGGCTGGAATGGCTTTATGCTGGAATGACTTTAGTAGGCTGGAATGACTTTACTGCTGGAATGACTTTTATGCTGGAATGACTTTTTCCTCTGACTTTGACACTGCCGCGCGTACGACGACTACGGCCTTGCGGTGTCGCTAAGTAGTAGTACCTCGTATTTTTCCTTGCTCTTACTACTATCCTCTCCCTCCTATCATCACAATAAAGTTGTCCAATCGATCGTTTGCATTCCTACATGACGTACAACGTAAATGTAACATTAAATACCTACTACTACGTACGATATTACTCAGTAGCAGTAGCACGGAGAGGGAGGAAAAACAAGCAAAAGCACTCTTTGCATTCTGGAAGAGGGATCAATCAAGATCCAGATGCCGGTCCTCGGATGGATTCTCATTTCCAGCAGAGTTCATTCGGGAATCCCCCTCTCGCACACGCACAACACCAACAAACACACACACAGCCTTGGATTCTTGCATCCTGGTTTATACTGTACCTACTACTACGTACTACGTACTACGTACGTTACTGCGTGCACGAAAAGCAGTCCGCCTGGTTATCACAGCCCCCCAAATCCGCGCAATTCCTCTCACGCTCGGTTTTGCCTTCAGAGTTCAATCCTCAGCAGTGCCTGCTTGCTGCCTTGCGTCGCACCACCCGCTCTCACAACCCTGCAAGCGATCCCCCCTCGCGACTATCCGTGATCGGCACCGTCATCGCCAGCGGATCGCGACGGATGGAATGCGGCGGCTGTAAGCTAGAGAGGTAGGTAGTAGTACCGGTACTTGTCGGCAGACTCAGACTCAGACCCAGACTCAGTCTCAGTCTCAGGCTTAGACTTAGACTCAGACTCGACAAACCACCCTCTTAGTACCGTAGTAGTACATAGCCTCTCCGTCCGCCCCCTCCCTCCGCACTACGACTGATCTGCTTGCCCGTCTTGCTGATCGTGGCTAAGTAGCACTTGTTTCGTAAGTAGTACGTGGGCGAGGGAAGGAGGGAGACCTCGAAGGACTGGATACCTACCTACCTGCACACATGGCAAGATTGGCTTACGGCCACTGCTTGAAAGGGAGAGGAGGCCTACCATCGAGCTTAGTGAGGACTCTGGTGATAGCACCCGAACAGCCGCCGCCCTCATCGTTACGTTAAAGTTGTAAGTCAGTGTGGTGGTCGTTGGAAGAGATGTTTGCGTTATTGACTTTTTGTGCCTGTGAAAATTGGGAAAGTGAGATAGATGGAGGGCGGGGTTGATGGTTTCGTAATTGTAAACGTTGGGTCTGGAAGCTTGAGCTTCTCGATGATTCTCTTTAGGTGCCGAAGAGAAGATGGGTTATCACTAGGAAGTTGAATCGGTAGTAGTAGTAGTAGTAGTAGTAGTATTTGATAGCCAACTGCTGTCCAAGCTGAGAGTAATCCGTGAATATAATACATCTATTGAGAAGGCCATGACAAAGCAAAGGCTCAAAGAAGCGGGCCGCTAATGCTATCTTGCGATAGACATATAGGTATCCGAGGTCTTTATTCCTTCCTATATGTCAGATTTCCCATATCCAATTTACTATCCAAACCTGAAATTTCCATAAGTCTGATTACACATACGAACTCCTCCGTCAATTATATTCCAGCGAGAAGACTGGAGTCGGGGACCGGATCTCAACGCCTTCTTGTTCATATGCATTGTATGTATGTAATAAGATAAGATCGACAAACCACTATGCATCTACCCAGAGGCGATCTTCGTCTGAGACGAGGGGGCCGAATGAACGGGCTAGAGACATGTCCGCCATCTGATTCCGCGTTTTAACTTTTTGTATACCACGCATAATACGGCGTTCAAACTTTCTATATACCACGCATGATACAGAGTGTGATGGATCAAGTCTCCAGAAGCAGTCGCTCGATCGCGTATCAAACCAGAAGGTATAAAGTGATGGTGAGAGAGAGCAAGCAGAAGCGGCCATCCAGCCTCCACGCCGTTGACACGACATTTCCAAGAGCGCGTGTCTGTCATATAATAATAATAAAGGCTCTCTTTAACCCTTGCCACCTCGGATTAATCCTTCGAGCACCGTATGACATTCGCCGCCTTTCAATAAGGTACCTACAGTATGCTACCACGACGCGGAACCTGAACTCCGGGTCGAGTCTTCGCCCTTCAACAGAAAAAAAAAAAAAAATAAATAAATTAAAGCGTGAATCCGACTCAAGACATAGCATCGCGAACCACACCGGTACTGCAACACGAATGATACCCCGCTTGCCGTCGTCACACAATTTAGAAAATCTGCAAAACCCACACGCATTCATCATCTCTCTCCCCAAATCCAGTCCACTCCGACAAGGGATCTGCTTATTAAACCATCAAAAGATCAAAACTCAGCAACACAGAAAGCATCGCAAGCCATAACTTCCTATTCCTGAGTCTCGCCTATCGAAGCCAGCCCTTTCCCCCTTCCCCCTTCCCCCCCGCTTAGCGCTCATCCACAGTAGAAAAGGGGAACGTAAACGTAAACATAAACAAACAAGCCAGCCCACTCCGCTTCACCCCCAATCAGCACTCAAAGCCAGCCCAGCCGTCCACAAAAAAAACAAAAAAAAACACCTATACCTACCTACCTACCTATCCCACGTAAGAATCCCCACCAGGCTCGTCAATCCAAATCATGACACTGTTACGAGTTATCAACGGCAAGTACCAGTACCAGTACAAGTACAAGTAAGAGGCGAACAACGGCCGAG